AAAGCATTGTAATGTTTACTGATAATCTACCAAATTTAGTTAACATTCGCATACTAATTTAAAAGTTATAGCATGAAAACTATAACAAGAACAAAATGGTTATGAGGTTGGTCCCATGGACTGAGCACATGCTGAAAAGAGTTAAAACAACCAGTTTTGCCATGACTAAGTCACCTTCCAGATGAGAGCCATAACAATTATCAAACATAGGTAGCTGCTTTATCCAACAAGTTTGAGTGACATACCAAAAGTATCCAGAGCACAGTTCCAGAACAAGATACGGAAGAAAGAGACCTTAGTCGAACTTGTAGAAAATTTGGAAAGGCTTGGCTAATTATTTTGCCCATGCTCTACATAAAATGGTGATTTGTTGACACATGACCAACTTATTAATGTCATAAAAGGGTGAGGAAATGAGAATTAGGTTGAAGCAGAGTAGGTGTACATTTTAAAAGGAAGCTGTCCACTTGGTGATGAACTTAAATCTGTTAAAGCCACAGATAAACAGCTAAAGGCACTATCATCAGATTAATGTAGTATTGAAATATGAACTTCCTCTGACAATATTCTAAAAGAATTGAAAGGATTAGTTAAATAACTAGTTACACAGAATTGGAAATATACTACAAAACAAAAGATGACCATATTGCTAGGAACTGCAGTCAACCCTGTATAAAATAATAACTATCCAATGACTAGTCAAAAAAAAGACTTGATTTATTCTGACAAATCTTTATTAAAAAATTAATTCTTTGTCTACAAAAGTAAAAAAAAAAGCTTTTCACTAACCAAATAGAAATTCACCTATTTGTTCTCTGGAAAGTGGTCATTTTATGTACTTGTATTTCATCATTGCGTAAACGGAAAGGTTTTGAACTAAATAAGCCTTTCCTTCTTTACTTTAATATTAGTCTTTTTTCTGCATATACAGTTCTTGTATATGATAGAAACTAGTTTTATAATTAGTTTTGTTTACTTTCTAATTATAAGTATTTTCTTAAGTTAAAGCTTTTACCTACACATACAGTAAAAATTACGAACAGATTTTTTAATCATGTAATACACCAGAAACTAGGCACTCTAAAAAGCTTGCTAAGTTTAGCATACACTATATTCATCACAGAAAGCATTGAAGAAGTTACACACTTGGTGCTTTACTAACGTAAACCAATTCCCTATCATCGTAGACACCCAAACATGCAGAATTTAATGAGCACAAACTTGTTTAACAAACAACCAAACTAAAAAGAAACACTGAAACAAAGGAATTTTAATCACTGGCACTATACCATCTGTAGAAAACATTAGTATACATCTAACAGGATTTGGAAAATATTAGCAGATAAGAATAACTTTAACATAATGACTAGATTAATTTTTCTCCCCTGAAATATAAAGTAAGTAAATGTTAGGAAAATTATTTAGTGAACCTCCTCTGCCAAGAAACATTTACAAAATACAGTGTAGCAATTGCCCAGCCTTTTACATAGGTGAAACGAGACTTAATTTGAACATTAAGTTAAAAGAACACCAAAAACCCCCTTCCCAAATCCACGAACATAAAAACAACTGCAGTTTTTCTGAACAGAATGTTATTGTACCTGATGATGACAAAACCTTGTCGAAACGTACATTTGCTGTTATGTTAAACTTATATTAAAGTTTTTCCT